GAAACTATCTTATAGAAAGTATGCAGTGAAGTTCATAATGTGCTTTGAGCAATTTGGAAAATAGTATTTTTAAAATCTAATGTATATGTCACATTTAAGAACAATAAATTTAGATACATTTCTTAATATTCCTGTTGCTCAATTTCTTTTTCTTTACAATGGGGGTAATACCAGAAAAATAAACAAATAAATAAAACGGGGGTAATAATACCTCTTTTGAGGGGGTGTCGACAGAATTAGCAATCATATATATGTGAAGCTGGAAGATTGCGACTCAACTTAAGGTTGATCTGCTAGAAAAGGAGGGACTGCCAACTAACTACCCAGGCCTCTTTTGCAGGAGTTGACAGACATTCTGAAAAGGGGACTTATGAAGGGGAGGTTTTCTGTAAAGATTATGTGTGTGTAAGTCCCAGGGGAGGAGACAGGAGAGCTAAGTACAATGAGAATCGGTATGGTTCATTGGTCGCTACCCCAGCCCACAGGACCAGCCCCCAGGAGGCGAGAGACAAGGATCCTGTTCTCTGGGAACACAGCACTATTTTGGAAACTTAAAGAGTTTCCACAGTTTGGGAACATCTAAGTTAGGCATTCTCCTACAAGGTAGAGCAGCAACTAAAATAGTGGAGGCCCAACGGAAGCCTGAGGATCATGCTGCACCCAAGAGTGTGAGCTTGTTTGTAGATCAGTGAGGAACCCCTGGGACTTCCAAATCTACGTGAGAAGAGGAAGAGTTTCCAGGGGACTGAGATCCTGCATGCTATGATGGAATCTCGAGTCAGCAAAATTTGAGTGTAAAACCTAGTATGATTTTATTCAGAGGAAAAGAGAGTTCATCCTTGAAATAGCTGGGTTCTGTATGTAACAAGATTTGGCATTCAAGTTGGAGCATGATAAATGGCTTCAATTGTCATCCTAAGATATCTCTGTGGACTTCTAATCATGCCTTACGATTGGCCTGGCAGATGTCACAGAGCTTTGAGGATGAGGTCACATGATTTCCTCTGTGTTAGTTAAAAGCAACATTGAGATGAAGCATTAAGCCTTGCTGTGGGTGAAATGGTTCACTGACTTTCATGTGCCCTCACCCCCCTCCCATCAAGAAGCTGAGGTGGCTAAGCAAAGCAAATTGCTCTGGGATACCTGGGTGGCTCAGCCGGTTAAGCATCTGCCTTCAGCTCAAGTCATGATCCCGGGGTCCTGGGATCAAGTCCCACGTTGGCTCCCTGCTCAGCGCAGAGCCTGCTTCTCCCTCTGCCTGCTGCTCCCCCTGCTTGTGCTCTCTGGCAAATAAATCACTAAAATCTTTTAAAAAATTGTAAATTGCCCCAAGGTTACCCTTTATGCATCACATTTTCAGGTAAATTATTAATATACTTTGACTTACATTGGCATCATCTACATTTCATAATATAAAGTTAAATTTTTTTCTGAAAAAAAATTCAGTATTTTAAAACTGCTTTTAAAAAACTAATGCTTTTAAAACTTTAATATTTTGTTGTCCAACCTACTCCTAATGACCAAAAGGTGAACGTATAACGAATCTCCTTGAGCGGGAACTGTCACCAAGCTTGTATGTCAAGTGGGTTTTTAAAAAGTCCATAAATTATAGTGGAAGGAAAGAAAAATAAACAGGTTAAAGTCTCTTTTTGATTGTTCTTTTCCAAGGAAAATCTTGATTTGCTCCTCATTTCCCTAGTTTTACCTGAGTAATCATGCTAACACTTAGCAAGTACAGATCCCAGCCAGCATTCCAACACTCGCCATGTGTTATAGTGGTGCCCTAGGTGTACCCTTAAAGGACGAGGGCTCGACTTCCCGAGGAGTGACCTGAAGTCTGGCTTAGGAAGCATTTGTGTTTCTGAAGTCCAACATGGGATTCTCAGGCCTAAGGAGCAGCTGAGCTCTACCATCTGCAAACATAGAAATCACAGAAGTTGCTTCGCTTCTCAAAGTCCTTCTACTTAACTAATTTTTAGTAATAGTGTCACGACTTATATGATGGCAATCTACGGGTGAGCAGGATGTTACCCTTGTTTGCACCGATTTTTCCTCTTTTTTGTGTGTGTTACAGGTTATACTGTATAAACACGGAGTATTGTATGCATGTTGTTCATTAGCTTTTGTCTTCAGTGTACCACAGCTACGTGCTCAGGGCAAGAAGTAAACAGCCATATTATGGGGTGATTATAAAGACAAAATTCCTTGCTAGGTTGTATTTTGATAGGTAATGTTAACTGCAGCTCTAACTGTACAAGTAATTGTAGTCAATTTAATGAAATTTGGTACTGTTTTAGCAAAATATCTGTCAATTTTGGAGCTCAGTTTAGAACAGAGCACCTTTTTTACCTACCTACAGAAATTAATGGTAATTATGCTTTTGACAAAGGCAAAACCAACCTAGGAGGTTTTTTTCAGAAAAGAATTATTCTTTTTAGATAGGGGGAGACTAACTCAGTTAATCCTTAAAACAACCTTAAGACATTAAATATTTTACTCTTTAAGTATTTATTCAGCACTTACTACGTCCAGGCACTGTATGTATTAACTAAAATAGTCCTTTCGACAACTCTGGGCGGATGTCGTTGTCAACCCCATTTAATAACAAGGAAACTGAGACACAGGGGGATTAAGTAGTTTGGCCAAACTTAAATTAAATTGATACTAGTCTGGGGCGCCTGGGTGGCTCAGTGGGTTAAGCCTCTGCCTTCAGCTCAGGCCATGATCCCAGGATCGTGGGATTGAGCCCCGCATCGGGCTCTCTGCTCAGGGGGGAGCCTGCTTCCCCCTCTCTCTCTGCCTACTTGTGATCTCTCTCTCTGTGTCAAATAAATAAACAAAATCTTTTAAAAAAATAGATACTAGTCTGTTTTATAGGACAACAAGCTGCCATGAGTACCCATCTATAATATTCCCAACACCTACCAATTACTGAATGTTGGCATTTCCCATACAACCTCTTATTTAGTTATCCTATAAAACAGCTATTCTTACCCTGATTTTAAATATAAGGAAACGGGTGCATAAAAAAGAGAAAAAAACCTGCCCTGAATCACGTGGCTAATTAGGACAGCTGAAATCTGACTACATACGTCCAAGTCAAAACCTATGCTTTTGTCCAGGTGAAGGGTTTGGTGTGGCAGAGTAACAGAGGGCATGGAAGGATGGCATTTTCAAGCTTAACCAAAGGGAGCATGGATTTTTTTTAAGGCCACAAACATTTTAGTGCATTATACAGCTGCCAGTTTAGCAAGTAACAGAAATAAAGGTAAACAGTATCTTGGAAATTGGTCTCTACATTATAGCCAGTGGTACAGTAACAACATAAAGAGGACAAGGGGGGTTTCTAATGCTTTTTATGACTATATTTATAACATTTAAAAGTAATTCAAACTGAGAAGAAACGCAGAGCTAAATGGAGGGCTAACCAAAGGCACCCTCTGCCTCCTGCTTCATAACGCAGCACGTATACGCTTCACCACTACATACACTGGGCCACAAATGACGGGTTTCTCATTCCCTGTAGTAGTAGTGTATTAAGGGAAATCATGAAATTCTTTCTCTGGAAGATTCCAAAAACAATTTTTCATCTGGTTTAATGGTTGTCCTTTCTGAAATTAGGTGAGCTGACTGGATTCTTTTGGTTTCTCCTAGCCCTCATATAAGATGTAGGTACATCACTAACACAAATCCTTTAAAAAAAAAAAAAAAGTTATGGGGATGCCTGGGTGGCTCAGTCAGTTAAGCATCTGCCTTCAGCTCAGGTCACGATCTCATAGTCCTGGTATCAAGACCCGTGTTGGGCTCCCTGCTCAGTGAGGAGCCCGCATCTCCCTCTCCCTCTGCTGTTGCCCCTGCTCATATGCTCTCCCTCTCTCTGTCAAATAAATTAAAATTAAAAATAAAGTTATAGAATGTTTGCTAAAATAATACTCAAGTAATTTACTTCCAAATAGGAGGCTAACAGTGAAAACCGACATACTGTGTAAAATATTCTAAAGGATTCAAAATAGTATACGTTTGAAATTTCTGGGAAGAAATTTTGTGCATTGGAGAAATTTCATGGTTAGAGATAATTTTATTCAAATGTACATACTTATAACCACCATCAAACAGTATAAAATATATTCAAAGAATTAACTACAGCCGGTACTTTAAAGACAATCATAAAATAGCACAAGAGCATGATGGCAGTAATAAGACCATGAGAGAAAATTCAACTTACATATAAGACTTGTACAGCTTCAGGTATTTATAACTAACATAATAATAATAGCAAGCAGCTTTAGGGTGTTTCCTATATACCACCATGGTAGCAAAATGATTCTCCTGAGTTATCTCATTTATCCTCATCAACCCTATAAAGTTGACATGTCAGTTCCCTTTTAGCAGGGAAGAAACTGAAACAGAGGTAGGTTATTTGTCCAAACTTAAACAGCTAATGACTGACTGATCAATGTTTCAAGTTTAAACCCACACAGTTCAACCCCAGAACCCAACCCCTGTGGGTTGGGTTTTTTTGGTTCCCCTCTGGAGAACAAAACTTGCTCCTCCTCATCAGGAGTAGGGCAGATGTTTAAGATGCTAATATGAAGTCAAAAGACCAAGGAGGAAAAGAAGCAAAAGCCTCTGATAATATTCAAACTGAATACCCCTTAAATCATTGTGACCTCACTTGGGTCTTTTGAGGGTATACTCCAACTCTTGGGGATTAATGGGCCACATTATTTGTAGCTGATTTCCCCCAGCTCCCTTTGGGCTCTCCTATCATGGGGGGTCCACAAGTCTAGACAAGTAGACTTTAAAATGACAGTTACCATTTTCTTTCTTTCTTTTTTTTTTTCTTTTAGAAAGCAGAGAGGCAGGTAGAGAGAGGCAGACAAGTAAGCAGAGAGGCAGGTAGAGAGAGAGGGAGAAGCAGACTGCCCGCTGAACAGAGAGCCCGATGCGGGGCTCGATCCCAGGACCCTGAGATCATGACCTGAGCCGAAGGCAGAGGCTTAACCCACTGAGCCACCCAGGTGCCACTAGACAAGTAGACTTTAAAACTGTGTTCACATCACTATGCATTCCACTTGTTTGGTTACTCATGTATATAACATGGCCATTTCAGAAATCCCTAGAATAGTCTGGTACACTAAATATAAGTTGTGATTTTTAGCTCTTAACCCCATTGTGTAGGATTCTGGTCTGAAGTAAAAAATCAGAAATGTGGTCACTCTTACTTACATTTTCTCTGGAAACTCAGAGAATACAGTATCAAAGAAAACATTTTAAGGCACGAGCCTTTTCTGTTCTTTCAGTTTTCTCGGCCTGTGACTGATGAGAAGGAACCCCCCCGCCACCTACCATGCCAGGGTATAGGAAGAGAAAGAAATGGAAGCCAGTAACATGTAACAGGTACCTTATAAATACTGCCAAGGGCCTGACCTTTGCCAGCCATATCTAACATTTTTCAACTTTTCAAGCATGGTTCACAAACGAGGCCAAGGGCACCACAAAAGAATTACTGAAAATATAAGCATTCAAGTGACTTTTAATATTAAAATAATTTATGGAATGATATATAAAATCATTGCACATGATAAATTTCCTTAGTCTCTGCTTTTAAAAGTTTTCAACAACACGTCTGCTGCTAGTCCTGGGGACAGGGCCCCACTAAGAACCTTTTTTTCCATAACAGGGATCTGTTCCCGGATGGTGGGATGGGTCCTGAAATGTTCTAACACACTTTCCTGAATGAGATTCCACATCCAAACTTTCTGCTGCCTCTGCCGCTTGGCTGTCAGCTCCCCACTGGTGAGCATGAGGTCCTGGAACTCTCTCATTTTATCCCACATTTCACTGATGCCCTCTCCACTTCTGGCGGAGATACGAATTACCTATTGAAAAGGGAAGAACCAAAACTGTTTTTACCTAAAATGACAGGAAACATCTTCTTAGGGTCTCTGATATTTGCCAATTAAGTCTTACAGTCTACAAAAATAGGTAAGTGAAAACGGAGACATTTTATCACTGTGTTGAAGTAAACTATAGCCAGAAATAGACTGAGGTCACTTACTACGATTACTATGTGCAGAAATAAGACACTGATTTTAGGTCAAAATGTTTAGCCCACAGGCTTATTTTGATGTAGGATTGCTCAGATGGTTTTCAGACGCAACATGGAGGAGCTGCAAGAGGGTCACAAGGATGGGAAGGGCAATGCTGGGTAGGTTGCCCCGAGGCCTGAGTGCTAGGGAACAAAACTATGGTGAGAAAACAGCCCCATTCCAATTCAGCTCGGCTAAGAACCGAACACCCAGCACCTGCACAGGCCAGATGGTCCCGTGCCTAGGGCAGACAACGTGGATTGGGGAGCTGGGGAGTGGGCGGTAAGAGAGGTCATCGCTGCTCTCACCTGAGTGATACTGGCTCACTCTTTAATAACAGAGTGACCTCCTGCACAGAAGGCCGCCCACATCTGTATCCGTGTACCATTTATTACAGAACTGGTCTTTGTTTTTTCTTTATTGAAAATAGCACCCAGCAAGCATAATGGGGAGGGAAGTGATCACATCAAAAGCCTCTTGTCTCCTGCTCAAACTCTGAGATAGAGAATCAAATCACTAACCGTTCCATAATCTTCAGAAGGTTCCTTTCAGAATGGATTTGCTATCACTTCCGAATGGCTCAAGTCAAGCAGTAAGCAATCTAATCTATCCCCTCATATCTGGCTTTTGACATCTTGTGGTTGAAGGATTACATTTAAAATCATGACTACCTGCTCTGGCTTTGTCATAATTTTTAAATTGTGATCTCACATCCAAGCAGAGATGGATTACGTGTGGCACGGGACTCGAATCCTCTCCTCTAATGTGCGCAGTCCACTCAGGTGGGGAGCACAGAGCGGAACGGAAGCTGACCTTGGGTCTCCAGACTTTGGAGCGCTTGCGGAGTAACTTCAGGGCGCTCACGTACTCTGCCTGTATCCTTCGAGCCGGCACAATCAAGTCTCCGTCAGATTTCGTGATGGCCACCAGGTCCGCCATCTCAATTATACCTCTCTTGATACCCTGAAGAGAAAAAGAGAGCGATGTATCAAAAACATTTCATTTAAATAGAGCAAAAAATGGGCGACCAGTCAACGCTAAGATTTTGAGAGTCACACACTTCATTAACTAACTTTACCTCCACATCCTCCCAAGCCCTGGGTACCAGGAACCACAATCACTTAACCGTTGGGATTATAGAAGTCATCTATAAAATCTCTCCCAAATTTAGAGACTAACGTGAGAAAATACATTTACAATTAGAGGAAGTACATCCTCAAGACACAATAAGAATGAGTGGCAGGAGACAAGTCCAGTTGTCTCATGATGGATTCTGTCTCTCCTGAGCTAATGCTGCAAGACGCAAAACCATCCATCATTAAATGCTTACAGGGTAAAGACACCTATCGCTAACATCTGCATTTCCATACACAAAGTCTTCGAACCTTTCCTCAAGGTTTATAATTTTTTTTCCAATTTGCATTTGAGGAAAATACCCAGATAGCTAAAAATGCCCCAGTCTCGGTACTACAAACACCCACACCACAGTGGTCTCTTTTGGCTGAACTATCCACGTGCTCCATTCACTCCCCATGCTGCCGGTGGAAAAATCTAAGTTGTAGGATTAGCTCAAGGTCATAAATTTTGTTACTATAAGTTAGGAAAAAACACAGAGAATGTACCTTTGACTCGGGCATTTTAGCTAATATGAATGATTTTTCTTTTTTTTATTTAAGACACAGAGAGAGCACGCATGCATACTAGTAGGGGGAGGAACAGAGGGAGATGGAAATGCAGACTCCCCGCCAAGCAGGGAGCCCCATGCGGGACTTGATCCCAGGACTCTGAGATCATGACATGAGCTGAAAGCAGATGCTTTACCAACTGAGCCCCCCAGGCGCCTCTGAATGCTACTTCCTTTGCTTACATTACCCCAGCTTAATTTACAGAAACACAACACTGGCAATGTGTACTTTCAGAGATGTATACTTTGTGTTTTGGGAGGAAAAAAGGCAACATAATCACCTGCAATTCATCTCCTCCTGCTGGTGGCAACAGTAAAACAAACATGTCAACCATATCCGCAACGGCAAACTCCGACTGGCCCACGCCTGAGATTGTAAAATATTCATAGCGATTAGACTTTCTCAGCTACCTTGACCGCCATTTCATTCACTCGTACTCGCCACCACACACTCAAGCTGATCCCACTTTGAAACCCCCAGCTCTGAGGAATCTATGAAATGCGCTGCCCTATGAGCACACCTGTGACCCTTCCCACCTCTCGCCCTCGCTTATGTAGCCTTCGTGCTGGCTAAATAGCGAACCTCGAGATCCCCATTCTCTCTGCCCCCTCGCAGCTCTTTCCTGGCTTCCCTTTCACCAGTGAGCGGCTTGAACAGTGTGGTTCTAATACTAGACCATGCCTATCAAGACTTTCGGCTTTCTGATCCTCCCAGGAGCCCTGCAAAGCCCCACCCATGGATCAGCCCAACGATCCGTGTTCTCTCTTCTGTAAGGTGCCGGAGGAATGGCTCAGGAACAGGCACCACAGCGGGGTCATGGGGTCTACTGTCCGCTGCCCACTCCGCACAGCCCGGCAAAAGCGGAGCCGCCAGGCACCCTCAATCCGCTGCATTCCCATTTCTCGCAGTGCAGTGGCTGTTACAAACATTCACTGGGCCGTAGTCTTCCTCATGATGATGCCCACGGCACCTACTTGGTGGTGAAATAAAGGCCAGACCTCCCTCAGCATCTCCCTCTCCCCAAATGCCAGCCCTGCTCACTGCCTCTTCTCCAGTGGCAGCGTAAGAAGTACGGGCGGAAGATTAGCGGCTCCCTCCTCCCCACCTCCTCCTCCTGGCTCTGCTTTATCTTTAAGCTCTACCGGCTCCTGTTGCTCAGCATCTCATAGGAACTGTGCTCAGGTCCTTCTCATTGAAAACTAAATGAACCAAGAAAAAAAAAATAGGACAAAACCTCACACAACCTCCTCCAATTATCACCATATTTCTCACTTTCTTTATAGCTAAGTGTCTAATAAGAAAAATCAATGTATGCTCATTTGTCTTCACTTCATTACTTCACATTAATTTCAATCCACTTAAATCTGACTTGCACATCACACGCTCCACTGAAACCTCTTTAAGAGTCTGCCCTTCGCTGGGGTGTCAGGGACTTCTAGCTGTCCATTCCGTATTTATTCTTCCCCATTTCCTTACCACAGGGGTTGTTAGGAGCACTGACATACCAGGTAGGAGCCCACGGTCACCAGACCTGGCTTCCGCCAGGTCTTATGCGTGAAAGCAAAAGTCACCACATGGGGTTTCCAGGAAAACTCTATAAAGGGGGGCTAAACCAGCCAGAGGTACATCTCTTCTGCTGACCCCTTACCCCTCCTTCCTTACCCTCTACCTCCTGCTTGGAACGTGTATGTGACCGTTAGAGCTTTATCAGCTGTCTTTTAACCAAGAACAACCCTGAGGAGGGAAACTAAGTGCTGAAACTGGAGAGCAGAGACAGAAGCTGGGGACACTGAGGGCACCGTGGGGCCACCAGGCCTACTTGGGCCTGCCTGCCTCTGGGCTTCTTCTGTTTACAAAAAACTAAACCACCTCTGCTGAATCACAGCTCTTTCGAGTCTCTGGGAGAAGCAGTCAAATGCAACTTCTACCCAATGCACTTGGTTTTTATGGTTCTCTTCTCTCTTGATTCTCCTACTACCACACGGGCAACTCTTCCTCCATCCTGCCCTACATGGTGGAGTTTCTGGTCTCCAGCCCCATCTTTCTTCACCCCCTATGCGCCTCCACACTCTATGGGCTACGTATTCTGAACAAACCGTGGTTCTATAAATTGGCCATGCCCTCTCGCTCTCTTTATTTCACTCCAGTTCCTCCTTCAACACTGAGCTCAACTGTCACCTCCTCCCAGAAGTCTTCCCTGATCCCTCAAACCCGAGTCAGGTTGTGGCACAAACATTTATCACTCAGTAACAGTAGATTGTCTCTCCACAGCCTGTGAATGTCTTGGGGTTTCCATTTCAGTATTTTCATTGTGTATAACTATGTACTAGGGATAGAAAGGTGAAAAATAGCATGGCCCTGTATTAAAGGGGTAACCAACTATGTATATTTTTGTAGCGAATATTATAGACATGTGAAATGTGCTTCAACACAACAGGTGTTAAGTTAATGTATTGTTTTCAATGCTTACAGTTCTCCTTTGGCATTTACAATATGTATCACAGTTCTCCAGATAGATGGCTTTTCTTTAAAGGTCAGGATTAGAGCCTGCATTTTCATATCTCCTATAGAACCCAAGATATCTTGTATTTTATTATACCTTTAGGAAATATACGCTAAAGGAACAAAATGATACTAGTTGTCACTCATCTTTATATAGCATTCATTATAATAGTATTTTATTGTTATGAAATAGAAAATCACACTCACCTACGGTTTCAATAAGAATGATGTCATATCCCCCTCCTTCACACAACAGAATAGCTTCATTTGTGGTCCTTGTCACACCTCCTAAAGTACCACTGGTAGGAGACGGCCTGATGTATGCATTCATATCTCTTGATAACTCAGTCATTCGGGTTTTATCACCTAAGAGTGATCCTAAAACACAGAGTTTTCTAATCATGGAACACCTATAAAGGCCAATTATCAATCAGCTAATTAATTCCCAGGTGAAGTGCATTTCTCCCCAAATCTCAAAATTATTTCATATTACTGAGCTTTAGTGCAACACAGCATATATGATGCCAAATTAATCATTTCAACATTTCAAGCCCCTCAAAATTTATAATGGCTTCCCACTGACTAGAGGTTCACATCCAGATTCTTCAGCCTAGCACTAAAGGACCTCAGAATGCAGCCCTACCTTACCTGTCCAATTTCAGCTTCTACTAGTCACCAAATCAATTTTCCATTTCAGCCAAGATGGTTTCTTTACTGTCATCTTAACATTGTTGCCTTGATAGTTTTCAAATGGGGATGAGTTTGCCCCCAGAGGAAATCTGGCAATGTCTAGAGAGATTTTTACTTGTCAAAACTGGGGGTAGGATGCTATTGGCATCTGGTGGGTGGGGGCCAAGATACTGCTAAGCATCCTTTAGTGTCAGGAAGCTGTCCAAAACAAAGAATGTCATCAGTGCCGAGGCTGAGAAACTGTGCTCTAATAGAAGTTCCTTCTCATGGAACCATGTTTTACATATTCTCTAATGAGAGCTTATTCGCTGTAGGAAATTAATTAGTTAATTTTTTTAAAAGATTTTACTTATTCATTTGAGAGAAAGAGAGAGAGCACGAGCAGGGGGTAAGGGCAGAGGGAGAAGCAGGCTTCCCGCTGAGCAGGGAGCCCAAAGAGAGGCTCCATCCCAGAACCCTGGGATCATGACCTGAGCTGAAGGCAGACGCTTAACCGACTGAGCCACCCAGGCACCCCATCAATCAATTTAATGACTGTGGATTAGAACTAGTGATGTTCTAGGGCTTACTGCAGTATTTTGGCAAATATCAGTACTCGCAAATTCTAGAAGACTAAATGCCCTGGAACTATTGAACTTACCTCAAACTTTTACTTTCCTTTAGCCATATACCAACATTTGAAGGTGTAGTGCTAGTCTAACCCACACTTTAATTTTCCCTCTGCCTAAGACCTAACTTCTCTACATAAAGTTGATGCTAAACATTGAGAAGGTCCTTAAAGATACGGTCTTTTCCCTTGTGATTCCAGTTTAGAGTTCTCACAGTTCTCTAATTCTAGAGCAGACACCTACCACATATCTCAACTGCTTTACTGCACACAAAACTTTTTTCTAAAGTAATTTTCAGCATGAAATCATCTCTGTATAAGTCAACAATCTGCCAAAGCTACACTTTAACTTATTATCCTATAGATCCTAACACACTGAATTAAAGATTATGAAATTACTCTCCCATCTAACTGTCTTAGCCAGTGAGTCAAAAACTGTCAGTTGCAGACCCTTAGGGAGGTCTCCAAGCTGCTGCAGGGGACCTGTGAATCCAAAGCCCAACAAAGACTGACTAGAGACCAAAAAAGTAATGCTTTTCAACTTTAGCATCGTGCTGTTTTTCAAATGTAACTACTGCAGCAAAAATGAAGTAGAAATGGAAACTTACAGTGCCCTGTTAATCCTCAAGTATTTTCTCTTTCAAAGTCTATATATTTTTTCACCTGAGAAAGGGCACTTCATTTTTAGTTTAAGATTTAAAACCACATGGCCATGCAACTTTAATCAGGCTCTCTTGTCACCATATCTGCTACTACTATCTCAAGCTATTATTTTCTTTTGCTATTTCAAGTATTCTAGAATACAGTGAAGGTGAGAGGAAAAAAAGCCTTCTCATCTGTATGAAAATGAGAGCCACTATAAAAAAATTATTTGCTCAAGTCCTTACCTTTAACAAAGTAAGTTCTTAGACTGTAAATAAGACAATACATTCACATGGCTTTAATCTTGAACCCTGTGAGTATAATTTTATTTTATGGTTAACATCTTTATTATTGTGAATCAAAAACTGTACATGTTTTCAGCTAAAGTTCTCAATGGGTGGTAACAGGAATTGCTGTCCACCTCTCAACTGACCTAAAGCTCTTTAAATATGATTATATCATCTCTCTTTTTTTAGCATGAAACCCACAGTATGCAAACCAAACACTTCCACAAAGTGCCCTGTACTTTCCCCTTACAACACACATTACATTGTAATGGCCGGTGTTTACACGTCTGTTTCCATCATTAGATATACAGCATAAGACTAAGAGGACTGTGTCTCAGTCACCATTACAGACACAGTGCCTTCCTTGTACAATGCCTCCCCTATAGCAGACATTCAAATACTTGTTAAATGAATAACTGTAATGTGAGAGGAATAGGGAAGAAAAAACTTTCCTGGGGCGCCTGGGTGTCTCAGTTGTTAAGCATCTGCCTTCAGCTCTGGTCATGATCCCAGGGTCCTGGGTTCAAGCCCCACATCAGGCCCCCTGCTCAACAGGAAGCTGGCTTCTCCCTCTCCCACTCCCCCTGCTTGTGTTCCCTCTCTCACTGTGTCTTTCTCTGTCAAATAAAAATAAAATAAAATAAAATCTTTTTTAAAAAAAAAAGGAAAGGAAAAACTTTCCTGAGTATTTACATGGTATGCTTTATGTTTTCCTTACATGATCCTTTGGGGAAACGAAGTTTATTCATTTTCTCTCTCATGAGCTGCCAATTAAACTCGAGTGACTATGTGCCCTCAAACCAGTAAGCAGTTGCTGAGCCCGAGATGTACACACCACGCTAAGTGCTGTGGGGGGAACAGAGGTGTATTACACGGTCCCCCTAAGGGCTTTCTGTTTCACTGAACATGTAATATGAACAGGTGACAAGTTATAAAGAGCAATAAGATTTTAAGATTAAGAAATGTTACAATACAGAAAAAAGGTGAATGAGAAGATGGACACATTTTCTGAACTGCATAGGGGGTGATAGAGCAGGGGTGGGGGCGGGAACAGGAGGGAAGAGGGCCTAGTGTCAGCTGTGATAGACAAAGAGCTGAAATTTGCTTTTGGTTATCTTCAACTTCTGGCACCCATTTTCCTAGTTCTCTAAGTACCCAAGCTCCTCCTGGACTCCCCACAAACTAAGAAGCCCAAGGCCCCAAGCTACCTCCATCTCCACCTCGTCCCCCCAAAACTCCTTTCGGTGAGATCAAACTCAGCGAGAGGTTAGAAGTTACCGGACTGTGCAAATTCCCATTAAATTATAAGAGAGCCCTAGGAGACCCTGCTCTGCAATTAAAAAAAAAAAAAAAATCACCAATACTCACCACCACTAGTACAAGAAGAAGGGTCCACAGCTAGCACAGATAATTTGTGCCCTCTCTCAGTAAGCATTTTTCCAAAATACTCTATAAAGGTTGATTTTCCAGCACCAGGGGGCCCAGACAATCCTATAGTAGAGAGAGACCTTCTAATTTAATGAAAGAAATAAGATCAGCACAATGTTAAGTTCTATTCAAATATCAGATTACCTTGTCTTTCTCCTAATGTATTAATACCATCATTAATGTATTTTAACATTTCCTAAAGTAAATGAAAAACCATTTATCTAGTTCCTGAGCAACAGGGATATAGGAAGAAAACAATTCTGAGTTCCGTACGTTCTCCAAATTTACTTTGTAAAAGGACAAAATATGATCGGCCCTTTTACTATAATACAGATCTTTCTGGACAGACATCATTGCTTATGTTGTTAATGTGCTGCATTTCCACAACACCTGCCCACCGCATCATGAGCAGTAATTATTCCACCTACCCCAATGCTAGACACTTGATCTTCCCATTGGAAAAACAACTCAATACTTTGGAAATTCCCAGTAATTGAGAGAAAATAATTTTCCACTTATGAAAGATAATTTTTTTGCACCTTACCCATAACTCAAAATATATGATTTAAACTGAATCCTGAAGAAATTAGTTTGTCTTAAGAAAGGGAGGAAATTCCCCGCTTGGCGAGTTCACAGAGCACGGCAGGTAAGAACATGCACTCTGGAGCCGGGTGACTGGTTCTGGTTCTAGCTCTGCCTCTTAAGAGCTGTGTGATCCTGGAGAAGTTACTTAGCCATTCTGTACCTGAGTATACTCTGCAATCAAATGCATATGATAGCACTTACCTCTTCAGGTTGTTGTAAGAACTAGATGAGTTACTATTTGCAATGTTTAGAACAGTACATGGTATAAAGCATATAAAAGTTAAGAATTTAATTGTAATTGCATTCAAAAGTATGTGTAGGTCATACGGCATGCCCAACCTTACTGTAATTTTCAGGGCAGGTCTCTTCTCTGTCTTAAACATCTGTATGGGTGCTGAACAAACACCTGTTACTTATAGTTATGATGGTGATAGAAGAGCTACAATAAAGACACAGGTTCATCTGGCTTCATAAGACCAAAATGAAAGAATCAGAACAGCAATGAAAATTTGTGAGTTACTAGCTTCGTGGGAGTTGCTGGTTAACTCCGTATATTTCTAGGATGTTTTCTCTTCAAATATCCATTAGGTATAATAAGTAAACACTTTGTCATAACTGGAATTTCTCTTTGGGAGTCTGCTGTTTTGTCTGTAACATAAAGATTATTAACAGTCAATGTAGCACTCTCAAAATGAGAGTTCCTTCAATAAGGGCAGAAGAATGGGATGTGTGAATAATGCAGACTCCCAATATCAGTTGGTGAACTCTTTTTGAAATAATCTTCAAAGATGCATATCCTGTTACCATAACAATTAGAAGGTTTTAATCCCATATCATTAAACTGAGATATAAGTCTAATACAATGCCAGTCAATTTTTAAGTGTATTTACCCAATCCTCACAAAATTTCTGCACTTTGTCCACCATTTCAAGTTCTTTTTGGTGGGAAAGTTGATTGGGATCACCTACTCTGCCATCGTGGAAACTCTCATTCCACCTAAACATATCTAAATTGTTTAAAAATGCACAATTTAAAAAATAAAGCCAGCTTATTTGCAATTACAGAACCTAGTCAATTGTTCAAGAAATCAGGTGAATTTCTAATATTTTTAGACAGCAAATGAATAGGGTCTCTCCTTTAAAACACATTTTGGTATTGAGATGGCTGTGCTTAGAGCCAAGCAACTCCCAGAAACTCTAACAGAAAGCACCTGGAAGAAGGGAGACTTGCCCTAGAAAGACTAATGAAACACCTAAGAAGCAGAATTTTGAAATGTGATAAGGATAATTATAGTTGATATAAATACAGAAACAAGGCATTCACTTCGGACTATCAAGCCCAGTGGAGTAAACCACTTAACAATTCTTCATATGCATAGTCTATTCTGGGAGTCACAGGTTCTTGCCAAAGCAGAAATATTATTCTCTTAAAATACAGAGCCTTGGCTCAAATGACCATGACATCCCCCCACCAACTTAACAAGAACAATATTTGCAAAAAAGAAAAGAAAAAGAAAGAAAGCGGGGGGTGGGGGGGGATTAAAATCCAGCCCAAAATTCTGGAAAAAAAAATAATAAAGAATTCCCATTAGATTGCAAACTATTCAGACTTATTTTAAAATAGAGAAAACTTAGAAAAATATTTACTGAAGAGACTGAAAGAAAAAAAAAAAAAAAGACTGACCCACACGAAATGCTAGTGGTTTTCCCTTATTTATTTGTTCTTGTTCCCTGTGGTAGACTAATACTTTCTGAAGAAGCACCTGGGCTAACTCTTTTTTCCTCTTGTGGGTTGATTCTATGAGAGTTATGGCCTCTGCTAAGCAGGCTCTGTGCCCTTGGATTAAACCAGTGTAAAGTTTATCCACAAATCTTTGTTCTTTATCAGAAAGTTCTTCTGTGTGTTCCTTTAAGGTTGTTTGTACACATAATTTTCTCTTTAAACCATTTGACAGCAGCATCCATTTTGTACAATGGAGTCCAAGAGAATTAAACGGCCAAGCACAAGGGATTCCTGATCCGAGATGAGTACTTGAGTGAAAGATGAAGCGGTAAGGACGGAAAGGTGATCTTAAAAGGCCTTTTAGGAAACTCCGGTGAGAATGTTGCAGTAGCATGGGAATATTCATTCTGTTTGTAACTGCAGAAAACACTGGATTATTTTTTTGGCTCAATGTGATTTGTGACTCCCTAGAAGAAAGAAAAACATATTTTTGCCAGTTCAATATACAATTAAGATACTGAAGTCAGTAAAACTGCAAGCTTAGTGTTTTCCCTATATTCTAAAACACACATAATCAGGCTTCTTGGCGGTACAAATGGGTGAAAGTTTCTTACCAAACCTAAGAGAGATGATCACCCCCCTGCCTACAGTTAACATTCAGAGTAGCCCAAATGATGGATTATTGCTCTACTGTAAAACAGAATGTACATTAAAATTTTCTTCTAAACAAAAATAAATATACAAAGCTCCTGTGAGGGTAGAAATTTTATGTCATGCTTATTTTCTTCTGTCTACAGACTTTACAATTTCCTCAGATCAAATGGACCTGATTTTGAGGCTCATTCAAACGGTTAAAAAAAAATTCCTCTGATGCTAGCCTTTTATTCTTTCTCTACCAAAAAAAAAAAAAAAAAATGTAATTAATAGCATAGGCACTTGAGGCATAAGCTTGGATAAATGTAAGCGTTCAGTGGGCTCACCCTGGAACAGAGATATATGCAAAGAATGTGCTATAAGCCCACCATTACCACCACCACGACCACCACCATCACCCCAGGCCTTCATGTGAAATGAACTGTGAGGTTTGTATGGTAACTAGGTCACTGTCTTTCTAAGTAGGACCCAAACGGCCTGGTACTTACTAAAAATGCATATTCCCAGGCCCACACATCAGCATCTCCATGGGTCAGTAAGCGCACTGAAGTCTGAATCACTATGGAATTAGATGAGGATGCTTTACTTAGATTTACTGATACTCTCCACCTCAAGCTGTATTCAACACTGAAAGCTGACACACTCATGGAGAGTTAGAAAAGTACGGAGGGTACGAGCTACGGCCACAGTGAGTCTCTGCCATGTCGGCTATCGTGCTGTTGACCACTCCAGGCCTCAGTACCCTCTTGAGTTAAGAGAATAGGACAGCTGTGAGAATGAGTTCAGTTAATTCATGTAAAGAGCCTCCTGTAAAAAGCCTGGACCAGTGCCTAGCATAGAGTAAGAGCTCAATAAACATTAGCTTTTATTATGATACCAATTTATAAAACATTAGTAAAAATTAGGTCATAGACTTAGCTTCCAGTGGCAAACTAAAATTTACATGCAAATGATACATATGGCCTACCAGATTTGGGTTTATGATTATTTGAAAATTTGGGTTTTCAACTATCGCATAGCCGAATGAAATAAACTACTTTACTGCTCCAAAGTTCCTCTCTAAATTATATTTCAAGGCCAATCAGCATGAAATTAATTTTACTAAATAACATTCTCACAGGAAAAAGAAGACATATTTTAAGTTTTTTTATTTTAAAACTATAACTGCTCATCATTTTTCTATTTGGGGGGGACAGGAGAGCATGATGACATCTTTTTTGACAAAATTAGTCTTATTCTAAAAGGACAATTTATGGAAAACTGTGTAAAACGGCTCTAAAAAAAAAAACAATTTAAAACATCCACTACCACCCTTCACACAAAGGTATTTAAAACAACACAGTTAAGAGAGGATCTATTTTGGAAGTTCTCTTTAAGCACACTCCTCAACAATATCATCGCCATTACACGAATGGCGCTTAGAAGCTCATGGGGAAGAACTCTGTTTTTACTTAGCCACTATTTTCTCAGCGCATACTGCTTTTCAGGTCCCATTCTAGGTTTAAGAATCATAGTGATGGCAGTGTTACTGCTGGTGATGACATTTACTATGTTCCAGTCATTCTACTGTGACCTTCTATATTAGTTTCCTAGGGCTGCTGTGACAAATTACCACAAGCTGGGTGGCTTGAAAAAAAAATTATTCTCACTGTTCTGGAGGCTGGAAGTCAGAAATCCAAGCATTAGCAGGCCTGTACCCCTCTGAAGACTCTTCCCTGTCCCTCCTAGCACCTGGTGGCTCCTGGCGCTCCTTGGCTCACAGCTGCACCACATGGCCTTCTCTTCTCTTTGTGTCTCTCCTGTGTGTGGAGATCTGTAACTCAGTGGATCTGCTCAGATAATCAAACATGATCTCATCTCAAGATCTTTAATTTCAGGGCATCTGGGTAGCTCGGTTGGTCAAGCATCTGCCTCTTGGTTTTGGCTCAGGTCATGATCTCAGGGTGATGAGACTGAGCCCCGAGGCGGGCTCCATTCTGGATGTGAAGCCTGCTTAAGATCCTCCCTCGTCTTCTGCCCCAGCCCCTCGTCGTCCTGCTCACACACACGGTGTCTCTTAAAAAGAAAATCCTTAACTTAATGGCTTAACTGTCATCTGTAAAAACGCCTTTGTCCAAATAAAAGTCACATTCACGAGTTCCAGGGATTAGGACATGGGTATATCTTTTTGAAGCCCACCATTCAATCCACTATACCTTCTTAGGAGGACTGTCACATTATATTACCCTAAATGACATAATCCCAGCACTTCAAAAGCCCACGGAATAATAAACACCATGTCCAAAAAAACCCACAAAGTGCTGTGGGAACAGACAAAATTATAGAAGCTAACTCTCCCTAGGAAGTAGGAGGTTCAAGTCATGGAGGGGTCAATGTCAAGGCTGGGTCTGAAAGGATTAAAAAAAACAACAAAAACAAACAAACAAACAAACAAACTAGAGGAGGCGGCCTTCCAGACTGAGGACTTAAATGTACAGAGTCACACCTGGAAGCTGGTCTCTTCCCTGCCGTATCAGAGAAAATTGAGCAATTCAGTGAGACAGAAGCCTGGTGTATATATGGAACGAGTGATAGGAAATGAAGCCGGACCAGGATGTAAATGGAGGCTCCTTACTGACAGTGGAGAAATGACAGAGATCTTTACAGAGATTAGTGACATAGTCAACTTGGGTTTTTAGGGAGATAACACCAGGAGCAGTGGTGAGAAGCCAAGAGGAATCCAACCCTGGTAACCTAATGCCCAGTTCAGGACACCCTAGAAAGACTCAAAAGAGATGAGAAGGACCTGAACTTAGGCAGGGCATTAAGGGAAAGAGAAGTCAGATTCAAGACCCTGTTGTCCACTTTAGAATCCTCAAAGCTCACGATGGAGGCTGGCACATTGCAATTGACGAAAAAACAAACAAAAAAGGCTGCTGACCTGAATCTATTTCATTTCCCACCAGCCTGTTACTCAAGAGTTTATAAAACATTTCCAAATACTTCTCACTATACTCTCCCAGAAAATTTTATGACAATTATTATTATTATTATTTCTCATGTAACACGAGTGAGTTAGGTGACTAATGTCATAGCCAATGAGAGGGCCAGGACTCAGACCGAGGTCTTTTGATTCTATGGCACTTTTTCTTAATAAATTCTTTCAGGATCAAGGAGAAGTCCTTTTGCTAAAAGGTAAAGAGATGTTAGTAACTCTGTCCCTCCCAAAGCATCTTTTAAAAAGTGTGCAGTGAGGATGCCTGCTCAGTAGGTTAATTGTCTGACTCTTGGTTTTGGCTCAGGTCGTGATTTCATAATCAAGCTCAGTGGGGAGTTTGCTTCAGATGCTCTCCCTCTGCCCCTCACCCAAGTCTCTAAAATAAATAAATAACCTTTTAAAATTAAAAAAAGGAAAAAAAGTGTGCAGTGATAGTGATGGCATTAGGACGAGCCAAAGAACAGAGAAAGAGGAAATGATCATGAGGAGACAAAACATTCTTACTACCAAACCTAATCCTCAGGGAGAGGAGACATTTCTCCCATAGGAGAAATGCTATCTATGTTGTCTAAGAAAAAATATAACTATCTAAAATATTCCCTTTAATTAACAAATTTTACCATGACTACCTCTTGTTACCCAACAAAGCTCTGGTCAAAAAGAACAAAGTAATATGTTGAGAGAGAAACAAGATTACAAAGCATTCATTCAACAAATATTTGACCATTTACCATGTTCCATGCAATAGTCTAACAAGGCAGATACAACAATGATCAAAATAGAACAAAGTTCTTGACCTCATAAAGCTAACATTCTAGTAAGGGAAGACAGACTATAGATGTATATATAAGACAGCCAGTGTGGCTAGACATGAATAAGGAAGAGGGAAAGTATAAGGCCAAAGAGGGAGTCAGATATACAGCCATAGATATGACTGGAGAACTCTGACTGTGAATGAGAATGGAAGCAGTAGGACGAAGGAGAACCTGATTGACTTCTGTTCTAAAAGGATCTGATGGGGATGCAAGAACAGAAATGGGGAGACCGGCTAAGAATATTACAATAATGCACATGAGAACTGAGGAGGATATGGACCACGTAGGGATGGTGTTAAATCAGATTCTGGGTGAACTCTAAAGGACCTGCTAATAAATGAGATGTGGGATGGAAGGGAAAGAGAGCAGTCAAGAATTCAGCACAGGTTTTACCCTGACCCACAGCAAAGATGGAGTTTCCCTTTAATGAGCTTGGGAAGACCACAGAAGGTCAAGTTTCAGGCATGTTTAGTTTCTGATACATTAAGTTTGAGATGCCCACCAAACATCCAGGTGGGATCCTGAGTGGGGAGATGCATTACTAGCATAAGGAAGAGGTCAGAGCTTATGTGTAAATTTGAGAATCATTAAGTATTTAGGTGTTAATTAAATCCATGAGAACAAATGAGATTAGCAGAAGAGTGGCTGGAGATCAAGAGGTGTTATACCATTTCTCATAAAGTTTTACACACATACACACACAGAAATATATGTCAAAATGTTAATTTCATCTATAGGTAAGTGGTATTACAATGCTTACATGTTTTTTGGCTAATCATATTTTTCTGTTGTAAGCAGAATAATGCCCCCCCTCCCCAAAGATGTCCAAGTTTTAATGCCTGGAACCTGTGAATATGTTATGTTAAATGGCAAAGGGGAATTAAAGTTGCAAAAATGCAATTAAATTTTCTAATCAGCTGACCTTACAATAAAACGATTATCCTGGATTATTCAGGTGGACCCAAAATAACACTAAAGTCCTTTAAAGAAAGAGGGAGGTGGAAGACCAA